AAAGAGAGGTATGGCTCAAGTGTAAGAGGACTAGATGTGTACCTGCAAGCTGAGCATTGCAGGACCAGAGTTCAAGCCTTGGTAGTAGCAAAAAACAAAAAACCTACAAAAAAAATAAAAGCCAGGTGCCAGTGGTTCACATATACCTATAATCCTAACTACTCAGGAGGCTGAGATCTGAGGATCACACTTTGAAGCCAGCCCAGGTAGGAAACGCTGTGAGACTCTTATTCACCAATAAACCACTCAGAAAAAGACAGAAGTGGAGCTGTGGCTCAAGTGGTAGAGCGCTACAAAGAGACTAGGGACAGCACCCAGGCCCCAAGGTCAAGCCTCACGACTGGGAAAAACAAATCCAAGCATCATGATAGAGCACTTTCCCAGTATGCACAAGGCCCTGGGTTCCATTTACAGCGCTGAAAGAAAACCTGTTAAAAAAATGAAAAGCCAATTAGAAAATATTTGCAAACTGAAAAGCCAATTAGAAAATATTTGCAAACTACACACCTGACAAAGGACATCTATGTTCAACATAGAGAACTTTCATCAATCAGCAAGATGATGAAAACCCAAATAAAACGAAGGGGAAAGATGTGAACTGACATTTCACTAATGAGAAACAAATGGCAAATAAGCATATGAAAAGATATTCAACATCTCTAATTAGGGAAATGCAAATTTGGAAATACCCCAAACAGCCATGAACAGACTAGAACAGGCTGTGGCACCTCCAGGGAGGACAGCCGGGGGGACGCCGGGGGGACACCAGGGGGACATCATCCAGCAGCACCGCATCAGAACCATGCTCAGTCACTAGGGCCTCCAACACTGTACTGTGTGTGTAGACCTGGCAAGGCTGGACAGCAATCACGTGAAAACTGACCGCATGACTGCATGACACCACCAACCCCGGCAAACACTAAGTACCAGCAACAGAAAGGCCAGTGGCTGGGGGCATGGCTCAAGAGGTACAACGTCCACCTAGGAGGTACTGTTCCAATGCCCGCAGGTAGGTGGGTGCCTAGAGGTGGAGAGGGATGGAAGGAAAAGCCCATGACTGTGGGAGGAATGGACACATTTCCCACCTTGTCCCTGGCACTGGGACAGGCCCATGCCATGCAGTTCCCCATGCTTCCATTATTCCTCAGTGATGCAGCAAAAACAAGGAGTCCTAACATACAGTGGGTCTCTGCTCTCAAGACAACATACCATCACATAAACACTGTACACTGAGTTCAGCAAAAGTTATGACTGTGATACTGGATGTTGCAAAGGGATAGCACAGACCCCAAGGAATCAACAATGTCCATAGTTTTAACAAACAGGCCAGGGCTGGGAATGTGGCTTGGTGGTAGAGTGCTTACTTAGCATGCATGAAGTCCTGTGTTCCATTCCTCAGTACCACATAAACAGAAAAGGCCAGAAGTGGCACCATGGCTCAAGTGGTAGAGTGATAGCCTTGAGCACAGAGAAGCTAAGGGATAGTGCCCAGGCCATAAAGGTTCAAGCCCCAAGACCTGGAGAAAAAAAAAATAACAACTATGGCTCATGCGTCAATGGCTCATGCCTGTTAATCCTAGCTACTGAGGAGGCTGAGATCTGAGGATTTTGGTTCAAAGCCAGCCCAGGCAGGAAACTCCGTGAGATTTCTTATCTCCAATAAACCACCAGAAAACCAGAAGTGGCACAGTGGCTAGAGCACTTGCCTTAAGCTGAAGAGCTAAGGGACAGCACACAGCACCCAGGCCCAGAGTTCAAGCCCCAGGACCAGAAAAAAAAAAAAAGAACAGGCCAAGAATCCTGGCTCACGCCTATAATCCTAGCTACTCAGGAGGCTGAGCTAGATCTGGAGGACTGTAGTTCAAAGCCAGCTTGGGTAGAAAAATCCTTGAGACTCTTACCTCCAAAATAACCAACAAAAAGCAAGACAAAAGGCTCCAGCAGTTAAGACTCAGCAGAACAAGCAAACATAGTACTAGGGATGGAGTTCAAGCCCAGGTATTGGCAAAAAAGAAGGAGGAGGAAAAGGGAAGGAAGGGGAGGAAGAGAAGGAAGCGGAAAAGATGGTCATAGACAGCAAGGGTGTATGCAAACTAGTTTTCATCAAAATTGAACTTCCAACATTTGATCCAGCAATTCCACTCTCAGATATATTACCAGAGAAAACAAAATGCCCATCCATGCAAATACTTGCACATCCGTGTCCACAGCAGCACTATATGTAAGAGCCAAAAAGCAGAAGCCCAAATGTCCACTAACAGGAATGGGCAGACAGGATGTGGCCCATGCAGCATGGAGTATTATTGGCCATAACCAGGAACCAAGTTTTGACACATGCTACCAGACGGTGACCACTGTTATGTCAGTGAAAGCCAACCAAGGTCATATGCTGCACAACTCTCTTACATGAGGTGTTCATGGAGAAAGCTCAGGTGAGGGTTTCCCAGGGCTGGTGGAACTCTGGGGACCAGGAGGATGAGGGAGGGACTGCAAATAGTATGGTTTTCTTTTTCAGGTGATTAAGTGTGAGCTAGATAAAGGTAATGGTTGCAACTTCTACTGAACTGTGCGTGGAAATGGGTGAACTAAGAGTTGTCAACAAGGAAAAGCCCTGAACAAGCTTGGCCAGTTCACTCTCCAGTTCAGCCCTAAGACAGATTTCAAAAATCCCACACAGGAAGCAGCTCCCCAATTCAAGGCTGAGCCAGAGCCTTCTGACTCCTCACCTTCACAGACCCTAAAGGACTAGCCAGGAAAACGCTCTAGGATCTCTTCTGTCTCAGACATACCAACCCTTACTGTGGGGTCTCTGCTAGAGCCGGCATCTCAGCCTCTGCGTGGGGACACGGGAACAAGGCAGTTGGTGGTTCAGCCCAGGACACTGGGGCTCACACCCAACCCCATGTCATCCCCCAGGGGGCCGGGGCCGGCCAGGCTGAGCTGAGAGGACACCAACTCTAAACTCCCACAGACTGGCCCAGGAGCTCAGGGGTAGGATCTCCGCGTGGCCAGATCTGATCACCCACTGCCCTACCCACCTTGCCTACCACCTCAGGCTGCAGGCGTGATCTCAGCGGGCACTGGGTAGCCCTCTGGCCGCACCCTTGGCTCCTCAAGCACAAGAGGAGAAAGCTTCCCCCCAGAGCCATGAGAGCTGCGGGCATATGGCCTTAGAGCACCATCTACCACAAGGCTCAGCCCACGCTGGAGGGCTTCTCACCCCGCTGCCCCACTCTAACAGCCTGGCCCCTTCCATCACACAGCCACCACTTGGGATGTCCAGGCCACAGAACCTTGGTATCCTCCAACAAGAGGATACCAAAAAAGGAAGTGAAGCTCGACTTCCATGCAAGAGGGTGTGAGATGCAAAGCTGCACCAGGCAGGGGAAGACAGAGGCTGCTTTGGGGAGAGAAACCCAGCACCACTAACATGACCCAGTAGCCAAGGAGGTGGCCAGCACCTGACCCTAGCATGTCACATCTACTGGCTTCCGAGTGAGCATCTCTACCTGGTGTCCTTGCTGGCCACACCTGAAGGGGATGGCCTTCCAGAATGGTACCCACAAGGAGGCTTTGCAGACAGGAAGATCTGTCCTCCATGCCCAGAGCCTAGAAGAATATAAGTGGTTCTTGGCTGATTTGCCTTTTCTCAGAGGGCCACGACCAGCACACAGGGCACAGCCCACTGAAGTACTATGGCCCCAGGCCTGCCCAGCGGTCCTGTGAGGGAGGGTGACCTCAGCCACATGACACCTCCTCCCTGTGCTGAGAGCCACAGAAACTCGGGGCTCTACCCAATGTCAGATCAGCAACCACGCCACATGGGAGCCCCGTGACTTCTAACATTTCAGTGTTCTTGATTATGTTGTCAACAGCGGCTGGGAAAGTGGCTTAGTGGTAGAGCACTTGCCTAGCAAGCATGAAGCCCTGGGTTCCATTCCTCAGAACCACATACACAGAAAAAGCTGGAAGTGGTGCTGTGGCTCAAGTGGTAGAGTCTAGCCTTGAGCAAAAGAAGCTCAGGGACAGTGCCCAGGCCTGAGTTCAAACCCCAGGACTGGCAACACACACACACACACACACACACACACACACACACACACACACACAGAAAGCATAAAATAACAAGTTACCCTGGAATTCTACCTGTCAACAAGAGGGGTATGCTCCTGTGACATATCTAAGTAGTGTGGGAACCATCACTCACAGGCCTGCAGCCTCTCCATTATTACTGGTCACCAGTCCCCTCTGCCAGCAACACAACTCTTCTCAAAACCCTTAAACACCCTCCACATCCTCAGCCATGCTCCTCAGGGGAGACAGTCCACCCACGGAAGCTCCAAAGCCTGTCTCCAAGGTTGTCTGATGCACCCCACTTTCAGTGAGGGGTAACCTTCAACAGCCCTCATGATTTTTCTTTTGTGGTGCTGGGGCTTGAACTCAGGACCTGGGCATTGTCCTTGAGCTCTTTTTGCTCAAGGCTAGTGCTCTACCACTTAAGCCACAGCGCTTTGGGTTTTGTTTTGTTTTTGAATATTGAAGGCAAGAGTCTCACAGGGACTTTTCTGCCCTGGCTGGCTTCCAACTGTGATCCTCAGATCTCAGTCTCCTGAGCAGCTAGGATTACAGGTGTGAGCCACTGATGCCCAGCTGTAATTTTTTTTTAATTTTTTTTTGGGGTCCAGTCGTGGGGCCTGAACTCTGGGCCTGGGTACTGTCCCCTCAGCTCTTCAGCTCAAGGCTAGTGCTCTACCACTTGAGCCACAGCGCCACTTCCGGCTTTTTTCTTTTTGCTTATGTGGTGCTGAGGAATGGAACCCAGGGCCTCATGCATGCGAGGCAAGCTCTCTACCACTGAGCCACCTTCCCAGCCCAGTGTGATTATTATTTTTAAGCATATTTTGACAGGCCAAACTTGATCCCAAATTGAAGAAGGCCCAGCTACAGAACAGCACTGGGTCTACACAGCATATTAGGCGGTCTAGTGTTAAGAGTCTTACCAAGTTCCTTGGAGCCCTGGCTCTCACTGGCCAGCTCTCCCATCTTCACCAGGGCATCAAAGTAGCCTTTGGCAGCGAAGGTCACGCCTGAGAGGAGAGAGAGCAGTTAGGTCCATCACAAGGCCTGGCCGAGACCCATAGCCAGCACTGCAGTCACAGCTGAGCCACCCCCCATGAGCCCGGACAAGCGAGGACTACTCCAGCTTTTTTCTGCTTCTTGTTGGTCTTCTTATTCCGTTCCCATCACGAAGGCTCCTTTTATTTGTAAGAACACAGTGTACTGTATAGGTCCAGAGCTATTCAAGTCAAACTGTAGAGCGTGGAGCCCTGTCACATCACGTGCTGTTTGCTGAGGGGGAGGGCCAGCTGCTCAAGTGTGCTTCAGGAGACTGGGTGCTGACTCAGGGCTAGAGCTCTGCAAACGTGGAAAGCAAGGGCCGCTGATCTACCCACAGAGTCCCCAGCCAAGCTGCAACCGGAAGAGCCACTGTCCCGGAAGGGTGCTCATCGCCCAGAGCGGGCTGGAAACATCACAGCCCTGCGGTGGCCAGAGGGCCCCAACAGCAAGTTAGAGGCACCACAGTGACAAGACTGGGGAAGCCCAGAGCCTGCCGTCTAAATGGGGAGTCAGGGCTTCCTCACATCTTATTTGGGGTGAGAGGAGGGGCCTTTGCGCACTGCCCCTCCCTCCTGCCCTTCAGACTGCAGGACAAGCCGCCCGGCCTGGAACGCAGGGCCACAGGCAGACACCAGCAGCACAATTACAATCTCTCATCTGTTTTCTACAAACCCAGTTAGGGGCTCATAATTGGACACTTTATCAAATTTTATTTATATGGTTTTCAATTAAGTGCACACAACTGTTCTGTGGCACAAGACTGTCCCCAGGGGGCTGAAGAGCTGCTGCTGCCAGGTTGGGGGTTTGGGGGGCGAGATTAAGCGGAAGAAGACAAAAGAAATTGTGTGTGTGGAGGCTGGCGAGGAAACTGAGGTGGTGCTGTGGCCAGGAGCCTGGACCACTGTGCTCAGTCCTGAGACAATCAAGGAAAACAGGAAGAGGAAGTAACCCTCCAGACTGTCCCGCACCGCAGCCTGACAACCACAGGAGGAAGCCCAGGCGAAGGCGGAAAGGCCTGAGGAAGCCCAGGCCTAAGCATCAAAGAGCTGGAGGGTAGATACCACAGGCTCAGCCTCCAACAGACCCAGGAACTCCCCAGACACAGGACAACTGGGAAAAGCATTCCACTAGCCCAAGGGGGAGCCACACAGGAAAGAAGCCCCCCACCCCCACCCCTTTGGTGGCTTTGAAATACACCAGTCCTGTCCCTCCTCTCTTGAGGGTGGAGCCAGCCTGGACCTCTGGATTCAACGGGCCTGGAAATTAGTTTTGCTTGGAGAATCTGACACAGGCGCATTGCACCAAGAGACAGCGGGCCACCCCAGGGATTCGTGGGGGGGTAGGGGGGAGGAGACAGTCTTCGGTATCTCCCCTTCCAGCCTCCTCCCTGAGGCCTCTCCCAGCTGTCAGCCTCAAAGCAAAGCTAGTTTTTTCTAGGCCAGGCCTCCCAGCAGTGGAGGGAACAGGAACCAAGGACACCGTGTTCACTTCCACACCAAGCCTCGGGGGCTCCTCCTGGGGCAGTGGCCATCACCACATCCTGAGATCTGCAGTGCCCTCAAGCTCTGCGAGTGGAATCTCTGCTTGAGGGCAGCAGCTGCTTATGATGAATTCAGCTGGAACCAAATCTATGAGTGCACAGATGGCCTTTCTGAGCCCCGGGACCCCCTGAGGGTCATGGAGCTCAGGGCAGGGCTGTGCTTGGAACTCCTGGGTCATGGAGCTTCAGGCAGAGCTGCAGAGTGGGGAGAAGAACCCTCCCAGGCAGTGAAGACCCCGTCTAAGGGCTAGCACCATCCACCTGGGTCTATGAAAACACAGGACCAGGTTCTAGGGAGGTCTCAGATGCAGGAAGACAGGGGGACTACATGCAGGGCAGGAAGGCCCTCTGGTCCCTGTATCGGATGTAGCAAGCAGGCAGATGGGCATGACAGGGCTGGACAATCCCTTCTTCAGAGCAGACAGGAGGCCATGGTCAGAAACAGGCCAGGGCGCTGGGAAGGGAGCTCATCAGTAGAGTGCTTGCCTAGCCTGCATGAAGCCCTGGGTTCCATTCCTCAGCACCACATAAAAAGAACTGGAAGTGGTGCTGTGGCTCAAGTGGTAGAGTGCTAGCCTTGAGCAAAAGAAGCTCAGGGCCAGGGCCAGGTGCTGAGTTCAAGCCCCAGGACTGGCAAAATAAAAAATATGCCCAGATGCTGGGCTTTCTGTTCCCAAGAGACTATGGAGTAAAGGTGGCAGAAAGAAAAAATGTGAAGCCTCGTTGTTGTCTCTAACTTGAGCTCCCAACTGGACAGAACCTCCCCGCACCGGTCAGGGCCATGACACAAGCAGGCCAAGGAAGTGCTAGGAAAATGGTGCTCACTTGGAGACACACAGTGCTCCCTACTGAGGGGAGGGTGTTGCAGTGAGTCAGGTGTGGTGGCACCGCCTGCAATCCCAGCACTCAGGAGGCAGAAATACGAGTCATGAGTTCCAGGCTAGGTTGGGTTGGTTACATAGCAAGAACTTCTCTCCAAAAAGAGCCCAAAAAGGAATGGTTGAGCATCTGTCTAGTATGATCCAAGGTTTGGGTTCAATCCCCAGTAACATGGAGGGTATTGCACAAAAAATAAATTTTAGACCCTCCCACCCCCCATAAATGTGCTACAGCAAGCCTACATAGAGAAACATAGCCAAGGGTGCAGGAGACTAGGGATCAGGGCTCAGGAACTGTGGGTTTCCGAGTAAACAGCATGGCCTGGCACTACTGGGTGGAAACACCAGATGCACCAAGGGCCACAGTGCTGGCCTGGCAACTCCAGGCCTCCTGAGCTGGGCAGGGCTATCTCAGGGTTAGTGAACCCAAAGGGTCCAACACTGCCACCGCCATCCCTAGAATCTCCAGTCTAGACTCACAGGGGTGCAGGGCATCCAATTACAAGGAGAAGCTACAGGTTCCTGGCTTAGACCTCTGTGGTCTCCACCCCAGTCTTACGGACTCCAGATGGCTCTGGGGACAGAAATCCACACTCCTGTCCTTACGTCACCTAGTTGTCCCCCTAGCTGCAGGACAAGACTGGCCTGCATAACAGGGACACAGTCAGAGTTGGCCAGCACTCATACCCTCCCGTAGCCTGTGAGGTTGTTTCTGGAACGTAGGACCCCCCTGGGCTGAGTGGAGTCCATCTGTGAGCCAGGGCAGTGCAAGCCAGGGATGGGGCTGGGTGCTGGCTGTAGGCAGCCTGCTCTACCTGCAAGGGCTTTCTCATAGTTCTTCCCCATGGCGATGAAGTTGCGGAGGCTGGGGTTGAACTGCTCCATGATGGTCTGGAAGAGAGCAGAGAAAAGGGGGTCACCAGGGCTTGTGTTGCCTCTGTGGAGGGCGTTCAGGCACCCGCCGCCTCCCAGCTTCCCGACCTCAAAGCCCTGCTCTGCCCCCGCGGCTGTCCTGAGCCTCGGCGTCCATCACATATGCACCCTGGCGGGGCCAGAGCACCTGTGATCAGCATCGGGGTCCACAGGGCTCATGCAGCAACGGCCAGCAATCAGACACGTGCAGCTGAGTGCCTGCTGTACCCGGCTGGCTGAGGAGCCTGCCGTACCCGGCTGGCAAGGCTGAGTCAGCCGTAGGAGGCCGCCTGCTGGCCACACACAAATGCTCCACGATGCCCCCCACGCCAAAACCCTAACTCAACACATCAATTACCAACATCAACTCTGATTAGAGACATCCACAGCCTGATTTGCAAACACCACGCTATGAATAATCCACCAGGCTCCAGAGCTGTTTGCCCGACGGACTACAGCCGCTGTGCCAATATCGGCAGTTCTTAGACTCAAGAAATTAGATTTTCACTGGGAAAGCCAAATAAATGTTTTAATTACAAAGCGTAAAAACAAGCACGCACGCGCACGCGCGCACACACACAAACAGCAGCCAAGTGAGAATTCTACCAGCACAATACGCAGCACCACTGTCAACAACCAACCCCAGCCAAGGAGGACCTGGGTGGAACTTAAAACAAAACCCTTCTGCAGCACATCCTAAGTCTTCTGGTCGGCTGTTTGTCCTATTAAGAGCCCAGTTCTTCCGGAGGATGAAGATAACTGGAAGGAAGGCCGCCAGGAGGCCATCACCTACCACCCCAACCTGTGGGCTGAGGCCTGTCCCAGCTCCGCCCTAGGCTGCAGGACCAGCATGGCAGGTGAGAGGGGGCTTAAGGACACCAATCCCAGGGCCCACATGGGGTCTGACTCCAGAAAACCCAGCAACATCAGCTCTCCTCACCTGCTCTTCCCTGTGGCAAGGCCTCTCAGGAAGTAGCACCAAGATGAATCCTTGAGTTCTGAACGGCACCCACCCACATTCAGGCCTGGGCTCGCTGTCCCCACTGTCTCATGAGGCTCCAAGGCTGAGAACCTCCCACACAGAAATACTGTCCACGAGGCCTCCCTTCCTGAACACAGCACAGATACTGGCATTTACGCAGAGCTCAAGCACAGGAGGGGACACAGCAGCCCCCCAGATGCACAAGGTCTCATCCCTAGAAACATCTTGAGAGAAGTGGGAGAGCTCAGCTGCAAAGCAGTGCAAAGGCCTCACAGCAAGGTAACAATAGAGGGAGCAAGTATGGGGATGTCCCCCAGAATGGGAGGGAGGCTAGGCATGGTAGTCATACCTGTAATCCCAGCACTCGGAGGCAAGCAGGAGTATCAAGGCCAGCCTGAGCTGTCTCTGAAAGACAGAAGAAAGAGGAGCTAGGTGGAGAAAGAAGGCTCTGGCCAGAGCTGGATTCCTTGTTTTACACACCAGTTGTGAGGGAGGTATGGTGAGCTCTGAGCAGCCATATTCATTGCTTAGAACCCAGCAATGGTGGCGAGACCAGGTACAGAAATGGATGGCGAGCCGGGCACCGGTGGCTCACACCTATAATCCTAGCTACTCAGGAAACTGAGATCTGAGGATTGTGGTTCAAAGCCAGCCAGGGCAGGAAAGTCTAGGAGACTCTGATCTCCAATGAACCACCAGAAAACTGGAAGTAGTGCTGTGGCTCAAGTGGCAGAGCGTTTGCCTTGAGCTGAAGGGCTGAGGGACGGCGCCCAGGCCCGGAGTTCAGGCCCCATGACTGACAGAGAGAGAGAGAGAGAATGGAGGGGTGCTGTGATGTGTTAGTGAAAGCAGGGCAGAACCTGGTCTGGCCAGCTCTGGGGAGGCCAGGGTGCTCATGTGTGCGGGTTCATGTGTGCACACATGGGGGAGGAGGGGTGCCTCTGTGTGTGTGTGTGTGCATGTGTGTGACAGAGTCACCACGAGACGTTTCTAATCCAGAACAGAACAGAAGGTGGATAGACAAACACCCCTCGTTAACAAGTTAACAGGACTCCGGCCCCGGAGTAATGGGAACCATTGCCATGAACATCCTAAACGACAGGTAAAATGCAGAAGCTACCCGGGCATCTGCTGTGTGACAACGCAAGAGCTGTGAGGTTTCGCTTCCTCGGTGCAGAGCTGAGCTCACACCAGAGGAATGCGAGAGCCAGTGGGCAGGGCAGCGAGTGTGCGTGCTGCGGCACCAGCCAGGCCACCTGGGCACAGCCATCTGTCCCAAGAGAGGTTGGCCAGCCAAAACACACCAGGGCTGGGCTGAGCTGGGCTGGCCTGGAGGTGGTGTCAGAAGCATGAAGGCCATGGAGCTGACATACTGATGAAGCCTCTGCGGGCGGAGGCAGCCCAGGGCCTCCTTCTAGCTCTGAACACCAGCTCTTGGCCCTGGTGCCAACAGTGGGGTCTCCTGCTCCTGCTCAAGGCCACAACCCCAGGCATTCCCTCTCCCAGAAACTGTGGGAGGAACAGGCCTTTCTGGTAGTGGCCAGGTGTATGTGTGTGTGGGGGGGTGTCTCTCTGATCTCTCCCTATGGTCCTTCCACCATTCAGATTTCCAGAAGCTTCCGCATGAGAACACCAAGTGAGGCCCAAACCATCCACCGAGGCCAGGTGTCAGGTGTGGCTGCTGCTGCTTCCTGTGTCCTATAGTCCTGTGTCCCCCCCTCCTCAACCCCCCCCCCCCCACCAAGTGAGCACACTCAGGCTGGCCTGCTCTGGACTGGCCACCAGCCATCTTTCCTCAAGTGAAAGAAGAGTGTATGACTCCACAGGACTTCTCCGGAGAGGTGCTGAGCACAAGCACTTGAGGAAGGGGTCTGCTGACAAAGGGGAGGGAAGTTACAGCTTCCTTATCAACCTCAAAGGACACAAAACCAGAGCAGAAGCTGGACCTTGAGAAAAGCAGTGCCTCGACCTTGAGGAAGTGAGCTTGGTCTCTGTGTGGGAGCCTCCCAGTGTACTGAAGGCAGCGGCCCGTGCGGAAGGCTGCCTGGGCCAGATGTGCAGTCCTTGAGCCTGGAGTGGAACTTGGGGCCTCCTGACGGGATACAAGATGGCTCCTCAGGACCCTGCATGCCATGACCTGGTCTTCCTCCAGGACAGAACCCCACCTGACAGTAAGGACGATACATCGTTTACACCCCACGTCCCGTCTCTTCTACATCACTTTGATGGTTCCTGGGGTAACTTCCCTAGTCCAAGAAATATATTTAGCAGCAACCTTCTTTTATTTATGCCCTTGCACGTTCAATGTATTTATTGAGGAAGACCTTCTGTGCCCCTGGGGAGGCAGGGCCAGGCCCAGAGATGCTCACCCTTCAGCTGAGGTGACAAAGTAGTGTGTCCTGTAGCGCTTCCAAAGAACCCAAGCCCAATGGCGTTCCCCCTCTGGGCCAGCCTGGAGAGTGACCGCCTGCCAGACCACTCAGGACAAAGTGCGGCAGACCAGTCACCCGTGACATCCCCTGCGCAAGGGGGAGGGCTAGCATGGCTCCTTGCAGAAGAGGAGACTTTGCCCCTCTGCTTCTGCGCCCAGATTCCCTGGCTGCCAGCACAAGGTTCTGTCCACTCTTCTGTCTTGGCTCCAGTCACAACCCCTCTCAAGCACTGCCTGCCGTGGCCAGACATTCCAAGCAAAGGATGGGTCCCAGTTCCGGGCTGTGTCCCTGTGCCTGTGTGCTTCAGTGTGCCGGGGCAGAGGCGTGCACGGCCCACATACACAGGCATCCTAGGCCCACATACATAGGCATCCTTCCTCTCTCCGCACATACCACTCGGAGGAAGAGAACAGTGAGTCTCCCTAGCTGCCGGGGGACCTCTTGCACCGAGCTTCACCAAACCCATCTATGGACAATGTGGATCTCAATCTTAGGGAGTCTTTCTGGCAGTTCCTGGTGAAACCAGGTCCTGGCTATTTAGCTCTAGGTCATCCAGCTGTCATCCCATTCCAGCAACAGCAGAAAGAAAGGTGAGGGACAAGGCCACCTGCTCCCACTCCCAGCCTGTTCCTCAGGCCAGTGCTCAGAGCAGCTAACTCCTGGAGGAATCACCCCACTTGTTTTCAGCAACGCTCACGCTGGCTTCCCAGGTGCCTGGTGTTACCTGTTCGTCTGCCCACAGTGCCCTCCCACTGCTGTGAGACTCGGCAGAGAACTGGGTGCCAGTTTTGCAGGCTTGACGCAGGTTTCCCACGTCCACAGTCATGTCACTACCTAGGTGAGGAGAAGCCCAGCTCCCTGCCAGAATCCAGGTGTCCCCAGAGAGACCAGCCTAGGAAGCCAGACTCCCAGGGAAGGGAGGGTGAGGTGGGGACAGCACCAAACATGTGGGGACCCACGGAGCCCAGCCTGGGCCCCGGGTGTGGAGTACAAGGTGTGGACAGGGTCCTCCTTGGAGGATTTCCCACAGCTCACTGATCTGAGCATACAGGCTCTGTGTGTGCTCGCGCGCGCACACATACACACACACACACACCCCTCGGAGTGCAAGTAGAGGAAGATGGCAAAGTCCTTTGTAACGTGTGACCTGACCCAGTAGGACACATTGATGGGTTCAGGACCCTGGGCAAAAATCCTGCTCATGGTACAAGAGAACTGAAGGTTGCTGTACTCTAAAACTAAGGGTCTCTCCTGAAGGAATCAGTGTTAGCTCAGTGGGTACAGAAGGCTGCCTGGAGGAGGCAGACCATGAATGTGCTTGGCTAGAGGCACAGGAGCAAGGAATGTGTCCCTGTAATTTCCGGCCACAGGCTTCCGGTAGGAAACAGCCCCAGGAGTGAGGATAGAGCAGGAAGAACAGGCCCCTGAGAGGAACAGGATCAGGTGACCTGGCCCAGGGCAGAAGGAAGCCCACTGTGGGCAAACAGTTCTCTGCAATACTGTATGGGAGCACCCACCACACGCACCCTGAACACCCCCGTAGACACCCAGCCCACAGGGACAGA